GAATTTAAGCTAAAATTTGTATGAGAAATTATATTAGTTTAATGCGATGAGATGCCAAATAAACACACGAATTGCCTTCGTCTTATTTCATCAACAAATTTAATTCTCACCTAAAAAAATGTAGATGTGTAACTTTTAACTAACAAAAATATTTATTCCCAACAAACACAATAATTATCAATTTATCTTTCTGATTTACACAATCATTCATCAACGAACAAGTACATTATTTTTATATAATTTCAAGAAACACAATCCAGTTTCGATTATCAAACACATAGTTTGTTAACATGAAAATTATAAAAGTTACACTAAAAATCAATTTGATTTTCATCTTTAATCAATTTTATTTAGATTGGTCTGAAAATAATTAAAAATGAAATATTTGATGTTAAAAAAACTCTAGAATAATCCAGACGTTCTAAAATGCATCATGTATTATAAAATAAAACTAAATCAGATTTTTTCTTTTTCATTTTATCCTTATAAAAAGAATTTTTTTTATATTGCATAATTTATATCTTAATTAATCTAAAATGTGTGATCTTAGTTGATTATCTTTGTATGTACATTGCAAGATACATAAAATAGAATCAATCATAAAATTAGCGCTAAAAAAAGAAATTTCAAGCATGAAATGTTATCAATTAATGCTTAAAATGTAGTTTTGTAAGATAATATCGAAATAAATCAATGTTGTGAAAAAAAAATTTATAATTGAAAATAGCTACTCCATAAACATCCAATATTCAAAACTATTGCATGAATATTCATTACTTTAAATTCAAATTGATGGATAATAATATATTGGTAAACTATGAAATTGGGCAAAAAAATTTCATCTTTTTAATAACTTAAAAAAATTTTGATAAGAAGAATCGATAATAATATTACGAATAGAAAATTGTGATATAATCTTCGGCCCGTTATTAGGGTTTTCTAACATTTATAGAAAGTATCATAGAAAAATGCAGAGTGGTTTCAACCAATCTGAATCTCTCTTCTGTGTGCTATGAACGGGAACAAATGTTGCTTTGGTGAGTACTTGAAATATTTTTCCACTTATTTGACGCCTTGACAAAAACTCTGTTTTAGTCACGTAGAATAATTTTAATTTAACCTTGCCCGTAGTTATAATGGCAAAATAATGTAATTTACAGGCACGCTGTAATGTTTATACTGTTTTATAAAGTGAGGGGCTACTTATACCTCACTTAGGTCTAACTAGCCCTCACCCTACTATAAGTTGGTCTCTGATTCGTTGAACACCCTATTTTGGAAGTAGTTGTTACTCATCCAGGAACCTTATAACGTTAGATGGACAAATCTGATCAATGTATATAGTAGATTGAGGGCTAATTAACCCTAAGTGAGTGATAATTAGCCATTCCTTTTATAATTATTAAGAATACTCATAATCTTTTAGTATTCGGAGATGACTAAATCTTGAAAGTATCAAAGTATCCAAGGGTTGCGGGTTCTAGATACCGTCTAAAAGAAAGTCTCCTTTAAAGTTGAGATTTTATACCATAGTAGCCTGTCAATTTCATGTACTGTAATTACCGGGTAACCCATTTGGCTCTACTTTTACCTTACGTTTACCCTACCTTATAGCCAAACCTCTACCATCAATGTCAAATTTTTCATGTTAACCTAAAAATAGTATAAATTTCGTAATGAGTTGACATAGAATTTTGCAAATGTGATCTTAGAAAATAAATCTAAAAAAATTCAAAAAATGTATTAAAGTGTGTAAACATAACAAAGATTGAATAAAAAATGATCAAATTTTGATATCTCTAGGAAGAAAATATGTACTGGAACCCCTAATGTTGCATTATTTAGAAGATTGATTTCATGAGATGAGTATGTGGATGTTGTTTTTGTTAATGTAAGCAATGCTCAATTCATTTCATGTGTGCTAAAGTACTTTGTGAGTCTACTAAACATCAACTTCTCCTAATGTGTGAAGAGACAAAAATATATTAATATAATATATCTAAATTCGTAGAATATAATATACAATTTATGTGAATGAGTATAATCGAGATAAAAAAATAATAAAACGAATATTTTAAAAAATTATGAATGAATGCGGAATAATATTAGTAGATGAAAATTGCAAAAAATTGAATAATCATATCATTTTTCTTTTCTTTTTTATGATGAATCTGCAAAGCGCATTTATTTAATCATTTATATTTAAAATTCATCTCATTTTATTATAAGTTTTGAAAAGATCTATAATGAATAAGCAAGCTTTTTTGGGAATAAATATTACTAAATATTTCAAAAGATATGAATGAAGCAAGCTATTCTTGGAGTAATTTTTACTAAGTTTATGTAATGACTCGAATTTCATATGTATAAATGCAATACAATAACTAATTTTGTCATTTTATTTTTTGAAAGTTGAATATTTATCACTATATTCAATTTATAAGATTAATTGAATTAAATTTGCAATTAATCAAGCTTATTTATACCCTCTCTACTATATGCGTTCCTGAGAATTTGAGTAAGAGAAAAAGGTCTAAAGATTTGGGTTGTGACCCAAAACGAATGTAGGTGTGGACTTGCTCTGATGGATATGTTGCACCATGGCTCCAGTGCTGCACTCATCATACGTACTTCATGGCTAGATAATCGTGATCTGCTGTGCTAAATACTCACTTCTCGTAAACAGCTGCGAACTGACCTTAACAGCGTATCCGCATGCTAATCCCGATCTTGGGGCCATGCTCGAACTTGTCTCATTGACAAACTCGAAATCCTCAATCTTCCCCAGAGTCCAACTGGACTCGCCGCAGTATGGCAGTAGTACGTGTCGAACAACGAGAGCCTCTCCTACGAAGGAACGATATGGAAGTCCAGAAAGATGGCACGTGGTGATCTGAGAAGGAGCCGTTCCCCTTTCCCCGTCTTGTTAGTTACTCCATCCCAGCAGTCGACGACACCCCAACCATCTCTTGAATTCGTATAAAGCCAGGGCTAGAACTGGATCAGCATCACACACTCTGCAAGCTCGTAGTATTTTTCATTCAGCTTCTAGTCTTCTTCATCATTTCCCTCCAATCCCAGTTTCCTTTCACTCGTATTTTTGATCAGATGGAGAGCGCCAAGGACTCCGCTGCTCACACCACAGAGCAGACCAAGAATTTTGGAGCTGAGAAGACCGGGCAGGCCCAAGCACACGCTGAGGGAATGGGGCAGGCTGCCAAGGACAAGGCCAACCAGGCCGGTCAGGCTACATCTGATGCCGCACAGACGACCAAGGACAAGGCTGCTGAGGCCAAGGACAACGCGGGCAATGCCCTGCAACAGGTACCTTTCTCTAAATCACGTTCTTCTTTCAGCATGTGAAATTGCAGCTGCCAGATGTGTTGTCACGCAGGTTTTACGTCCTTGTACTTATAAGCACCGATTGGCTGAGTGCAGGCTGGTGACAAGGTGATGGAGACTCTCACCAATGCAAAAGACGCTATTACTGGCAACAATCAGTGAGTAGATCGTAAGCATCAGGAACTGAAGGGAGGAGCCACTTCAGTTGGATCAGTCACGTATACTATTTGTCCGGCAACTAGCAAAAAGGCTCCTGCGATTCACAATTAGGAAATTCCAATTTCCAATACGAAGTAGATGAACTCAGCTGAGAAGGTCATTCGTAGGATATTTCAGGGAACTAAATTTGTTATACAATTGTACAAATTATAAATACAAAATATTCACATCATTTAAGTCGTCACAATTTTCTGCAAGCGAACGGCTCCAATGTTGTCATTGTTGCTCAATGTCTTACCAGCTCTTTGATGACAGCAAATCCCATTGATACCATCATGTGAAAACTGCAAGTCGTCTGAGATTCGTCATGGACGTTATAATAATCTTTCACTAATCTTATACTCAGTATCTAATATGAATGCCCTGAATTTGTTCAAATGCATATGTCTATATTCTTTGTATTCCACACGGGTAAATTAACATTTTCTCAAAGTGTGAGACTCCAAAATCAACAACGTTACTTTCAGTCATCGACACGTGCAATTTCAAATATACTTGTCTGTTTCGTGTATATACGTGAAATATACTTCTATTACTTACATTTTAGATGATATTTTGTGACGACTAGAACAGAGCGAAGCAGAACAAAGCTATAAATCATTTCAAATTTAGTAAACAAATTATTGCGCGGCAAAGACAAAGCAAATTTGCAATCTATTGAAACTTTACAGTTTTAAATGAAGGATAAATAATCTAACATACCCAAAGTTGCATATTGAAAAATCATAAACGAGAATTAAATCATTCCAAACTCAAAATTTTATTTGTCTCCTTTTACTCGAATCGCAAAAGATAATTCTGAAACAAGGCCATAGCTCTGTAGTCAAATAATTGGTTCAGTGAGGTAAAAGACTTGAGCCAATGGCCGATGGCGACACATTACAGAAACATAAGCTCCTTCGATCGGAGACGTGCATTCATAATCACGTCCGGTATGGAATCCTTATGCTCACTCATACGAGTCATTCGATTGGGAGATTAATCGTCCTGAAAATTTACATTCCCATGCAGTTCTGTTGGAATAGCATTCGGGCTTCTGGCGCTATCTCGAATCCCATATCACGGTCCCGAGCAGAGCGACATTTCCAGGTGTACGAACATTGCGCCCACTCAAAACAATCGGTAGGCTATAAGCGGACAAATCTTAGCGACAACCTCATCCTCTTCCTCTTCACGTGGTCACGAGGTTGACGACCACTTCCGGCAGATTGCTGCGGTACCATTATTGGACTCTCCACGGCGAGGCACGTCACAGTTACAGTCACTCCGACTTCATCCAACGCCGACCAAGATATGAAACTCGCAGCTGTTCTTTCCCGACCTGAGCACTGACCGCAGGACACCTGTTTCTAGTCGCAGGGTGAAGGGAACATTCCGGAGCTCTTCCACGGCCTCCAGCAGCAACGCTACACGTGTCGACACCTTCCTACGTTGCTACGATCGTGCTCTGGCGATTGCATGGGGTGCGGCTGCTCCTTCGCATATATAAGAGAACAAAGACTTCGATCATAGCACGCATTCCATCTCGAACTCAGCTGTTTCATTCCCACCACGAATCTCAATTTCAGCCGCTCTCTTCGATTTCGGATTTATTTTCTAGTCTTCAGTTTCTATCGTAATCATGTCGTCGTATCAGACACAGAACGCTAAGGACTCAGCTGCTCGTACCGCTGAGCACACCAAGAACGTGGGCGCTGAGAAGGCAGGGCAGGCCCAGGACCGAGCCCAGGACATGGGTCAGGCTGCCAAGGACAAGGCCAACGACGTCGGCAGCTTCACGTCTGAGAAGGCCAACCAGGCTGGTCAGGCCACGTCCGACGCCGCCCAGACTGCCAAGGACAAGGCCGTCGAGGCCAAGGACAACACTGGCAGCTTCTTGCAGCAGGTGAGCGTTGATAATCGATTTGGTTTCTTCCTCTGAATCGGTGTCGTTATGAGAGATTTGCATGTACTGTCTCTTTCAATCTGGTTTTCGTACATTGAATGTATCGTTTTCGATGGGATTTTGGTGCTGACCTCTGTAATGAAATGCTTTGAACAGACCGGAGACAAAGTGATGGAGACCCTGACCAATGCCAAGGACGCCGTCATGGGAAACAACCAATAGGTCATCGAATATGATGGCCAGAGGGTTGGATACAAAGTCAGTATGTAGATCGTTCGAAGTATTGTTTGCAGTGCGTGGTTCACGTGAAAACATCTTATGATCTGCCGTGTACAGTAATCTACTTTTGCCTTCATTAAAATTTCGGCAGAAGGAAAACCCGTCTCCACCAGTACATTTCTTTAGAAGCGTCGATCTTTGGAGCACAGACACAATGTCATCCCAGTAATCTGAGACACAACAACGTTGGAATGTACATTCTGTAGAGGAAAAGCAGTACATAATAAAATAATACATTTGCATCCGCAATTCCCAGTATGTATGATGAAATTGAATATCTACATAAATATGATGTATTCTCGATGTAACACACTCACACTTGATTCTTGTTTCCTCCTTGGGCCTGCAGTTGAGTATACTGAAGAATTTTGATTTACTCTTGCACATCTTCACATTATGTAATCGTCGTTGCTCCCTAACACACAAACCATGGTAAGTGTTAGGGTCGTTTATGTGTTCACCTTAGAGCCTAACCTGATTAATATACACTAATTCTCCATAGTTGTCTAAAGTATTAACAGAAAGTAACATGCTGGAAAGGAACTTTATACTATCGCATCAACTTTATGAGAATCCATCTAAACAATTTTGTTAATGTCCATATCTATCATTAGTTGTAATGAATTATCTTTGCTGAACCATATATTACAAAATGTCAGAGAGATTTTTCTGATTTTCTATATACAGTGGACAAAATCTTTCTTTCGAAATACAAAAAATTACATAAATGACAAAATTCAAATGCAGAATATAGTAATAATCTAATGTAACCATTCCCATTCAAACGAAAAAAATCATAGAACTGAATCTATATTCAATAAAGCCGTTTATAATTATTATTTAGTAGAAAATTGCTTCAGTGGCTTGAAACTTTGTAAGCAACTGGACATTTATTAGCATTAAGTACAACTCAAAGAGCTCATCAGACTTGTACTCACATTCGAATAAACTTGTAGGTCCCTTTGTAATAGTACAGATCTGAGCTAAACGCGATTGTTTAAAGTCATTAGAAGAACGAATCCTCCACTAAGTCCTTTTAGAAATAGACGATCCGACGTCAAGATTAATTATAACGAATAGAGGAGTTCGAACTCTGGAAGCAGAGACAGTGCCTGGTTTGGAAGAACTTTGGCTTACAGCACTGACTCATGCTCCTCGAGAGCGTGCCAACAGATATAAAGCTCGCCGTAAAAAGCATGGCACGTCTAGAGTGTCCACCCAAAAATATGATACCAGGAACAATATGAGTCGTGAGATCATTTCTGATTCTCTGCAACTGCACCGTTTCTTGAAAACCAAAGAATAATAATGTGGTCATCAGGCATGGCGTTTCAGATGGTCAAGTAATTGCTAGCTTTTGCAATTCTCGCGGATCGGAACTTTAAAAAGAAACAGCAAAAAAAGCTGCAAGCATGGATCCTGACGCGTATTTGTTCTCCAAGACGGCGAAATGTTATTTTGGTCCCAATCAAGCTAGAGATTGGTACAGGCATTGCCTATCGATTTGGTTTTACATATATCGCAGCTAACATAGCTGCAGTTCTCCAGTATGTTGCGAGACTAAGTCTCACCCAACTCTTGCACCAACTGTCACAAGAACTCTTCTTCAAAATTACCTGTGAGGTTGAAGGTTTGTTCATAGATTCATATCATGAACATTTTCCATATAATATGAGTATATGAAATTGTTTCATATATTCGTATCTATGTTCTTGATTTAATGATCGTCTATGATATAAGATTATAAATCGATCTTAAGAATTTACTTATCCTACATTTCAGTATTGTTTACAACCCTTACTTGGGCTTGATAAATCTAAGCATATTCAGACTAAATGTAGTTAATTTAATGTCTAATTAGAAATTTTCAATAACTATTAGAAAGAAATTCATAATAAAAAATTTACCGCACAAGTAAAAATTTAACATCTATATGTTTTTTGCTGACATAAAAAAATCTGTATTTCATCAAAAGCTTATAGATGAGGTTTAATTTTGGTTGATATATCATATCCTAAGCCAATCCGCCAAACTTACTCCAATTTGAGTACAAAAAGTGCAATACAAATAGGGATGTCATGAATCCAAAGCCTTTCCATCACACTAAGAAAGCCAGTTTATGTTAATGTTTGCCATAAAAGGAATACTCCAGACTTTAAGAAATTATATTATAAAGAGCACCTCTCTTGCATGCCACCACACGTTGAGGATGAAAACCGCAACATCAGTTTCTGCGTTTCATACACCAACCATTTGCCCATTATAAATGCTCGATGGTCAAATGTGAATGATACAGTTGTGGCCTAGTAATGATAAACAGAATAAGCTTTGCCACTATTGTACTCATTGGTGGTGAGCTGTTGGGAGAAACTGTTGTTCAGTATGGGACTTTTGTCATGAATACAGAGAAGGAAATAAGGCATGCTAACTAAGATTTCCATAATGAACGTAGGAGATTTGAGAAATCTCCGACCTGGCGCTCTTCCCCTAAAATGTTGCACCTAAAGAGTCTCTTCTCCACCTGCCTTTTGGCTCTCGAGAGACAAGGATAGGAAAAAAAAGTGCTGCACCTTGAAAGGCCATGATTGATAGCGATGTGCCCTTTTGGAGGGCTGTCAAGAACAGGCTCCTGAAAACATGTTCGATCCGAAGGACACGAGAGGATTAAAAATCACAAGAAACTCTAAAGCTCTGGACCATGAAGCTTAATCAGAAACAGCCCCCCAATTCCCATATATGACTTCAAATCAAATCACATCATGCTGGAAGTGATACATTTCTCCATCCATTGAAAGAACTAGTGTTTCTCCGACATGACTGACATCGCCTTGTTCTGACAACCCCCTAATCAATCAGTCTGAAAATTGCGTGGGAAATCCTCAGCATTGCGTTCAAAGACACTAATCTGCATATCCATGTCGTGCACTGAAAATAAATTGGAGAATATAACAATGCTCATGTTTAGAACTGAATCATCACTATTATTGCAAGTCGTCTTTCAGTCAAGGTTGAACTTTGGCAACCAGTTCCACCAAAGGACACAGTTGCAGCTTTGTCAATTACTCCTTGTCAAAGTTTCGTCAATTTGCGGCGCTGAAAAAACCTGGATTTGGAGTGAGGCTGCACACTACGGAAACTCAAGCTGCACTTGTCGCAGTGAGATAGCATCCCGCTCTAAATCACGTGCCTCCATTTTGGCTGCAGTCGAAAAGTGTCAAAGTTGTAATAACCCAACGTAAATGTAAGCTTGTGCACAAGATTCAAAGCCACTCGATATCTCCGCGGCTGTTCAAGGCATAGAAGCTGGACTGCTCCACCTTCACCTCATCTACTATCATTCATCTCTTCAGCATTCCCTTCTTCCAACTCCCCAACGATATTGTTTAGCATCCTGACCAAAACACTAACTGTGCGAACGAACATGTTGTGGGGAAGAACACAACAAGACAAGAATAACCCATGAAAGTATAAAACCGAAGCTACAAGAGTCCAAGTCCATCACAACGTAGAATATGTTATTCTACAATTATTCAGGATTGTCTATTTGAAAATATGTAAATATTACTCTGAGATACAAATATATCATCTATCTAGGTGAGTTTCTTTATAAACTAAAAAAAAACCGTATCTCTTGTATCTAGAATGAAAAACTAAAGTATCATGAGAGTGCACATGTGCAATTAAAGATTCATGATTTCATATAATTCACCTCTATAGAAGCAAATATGTGTCTACATAATTTTATCTTTGAATTCCTTGGGACAAAAACTTATCATACACAACTTACATAGCAACTCTTATAAAAAAATATCTTGTACTCTCATAATGTTGTCATTATAGGTATTTTGAATTTGGTTATAAGGTTCTGTTCTCAATTTACATGTATGTATCTAACATCCTGGATGAGTATACGTCGTGATCATAACTGCATCACTGCGATGATTTCTTCATTGAGTACGAAGTCTTGCAACTAGGGTTGCAATCAATATTAACTCAATGAAGAAATCATTGCAGTGATGCAGTTGTAATTACAACGTATCCTCATCCGCCAGCAGGTGCGAATCTAGTAGGAAAATCTCCAAACCTGCGAAGCAATGAAATATTCATAGAACTATAGAATGTCAAGATATTTGAACACTTCTTTACAAATATATTCCCTAATACTAGCAAAGTCAGTGTAGAAGCTTTGCATGCAGACCTGGCAGGTTAAGAAAAGGGAACAAAACACAAGTATGATCACAACGTATACTCATCAGTTCCAAGATGTATTGAGAGTTTAGGGTTATGTTGCTATGTAAGTTGTTCATGGTATGTTTGTGTACGAAGTATGCATTTAAAAAATACAATACAGTTTTAGATTTCAACAGTTTGTTTGTTTTAACTTTTCGTCACACAAGTGTCAGACCAACCGCACTGAGCTGTCTGGTAGGTTTGCTATATGGATAGGGATATACGCTAACATCACATGTCCGTAAACGGAGTAAATCACTCTAGCGCTCAGAGATCATCTAGCGCCTCGGAGTGATTTATTCCAGAAACTCATGCCCGTCATCCTGTTTCCAGTCCATAAATGTTGTAAAACTGAAACGCATGTGAGATGAGATGAAAGTATATTCACCAGACAGCTCAGTGCGGTCGGTCTGACATTCTTGTGATGAAGGGGTTGAAACAAACAACCTATCAAAATCTAATAAGACTGTTTTTAATTTCTGAACTGCATACTTGGTACAAAAACTTACCGTGCACAACTTACAAGGCACTTTTAAAAAACACTATCTTGTTCTCTCGTAATGTTGTCATTGAAGGTATTTTGCATTAGCTACAAGTTACTACTCTCAATATACACATATGTATCTAACGTCGTGATCATAACTGCATCACTACAATGATTTCTTCATCGAGTGTGAACTCTTGCAACTAGGGTTGCAATTAGTATGAACTCTTGAAACCCTTCCGTTCCAGTTTCTTTTGTCTCATTGACAGCTAGCTGTCAAAGCCCCTTTTCTGCATGGGACGGAACATACCTGGGCTCGGAAGTGAGCAGGCGCGTTGTCAGAACCTCGTGCTGCACTTGTCGCTATAAGAAAGCATCCTGCTAGGCATCACATCTCCGAATTCACGCTGCGAGCAAAACGTGTCCACTTTGTGGATGAGCCTAACGTTATGTTACCGACCGAATACAATCATGGCACCTGTGAAGAAAATGTCGGCTAGGACACTAACTTCGAAACTAATCAACTTGCGAATTCTTCTGTCGTCATAAGCCCATGCTAGAAAATGTATATAAGGCTGGCCTGCTAGTCACTCTACATCTTCGATAGGAATCGTCACTCATCTTCATCTCAGCTACTTTCTGCTTCCCGACCCACGCGAATCGACTTTCCAGCAACTGTCCTAACGACCAATCCATCGACCTTGTCTTCCAACCAGATGCAGAGCGCCAAGGACTCAGCTGCCAAGACCACGGAGCACACGAAGCAATTCGGAGCTGAGAAGACCGGTCAGGCACAAGATCACGCCCAGGGAATGGGCCAGGCTGCCAAGGACAAGGCCAACCAGGCGGGACAAGCCACGTCCGATGCTACTCAGGCTGCCAAGGACAAGGCCGTCGAGGCCAAGGACAACACTGGCAACGCTCTGCAGCAGGTACTTTCCCACCTTCCGGAACGAAATATTTTCGCATAGTTCTCAAATCTTGTGAGAGTCATGAATGTGGTGGTGCGAGGATTGCAATTGTTTATCTGAAGGGCACAGCTAACACTGCTAATGGTTGTGGATGCAGGCTGGTGACAAGGTGAAGGAAACTTTGACGAACGCCAAGGACGCTGTCACAGGAAACAACCAATAAGTAATCATCGAGCTGTATTGCCTCCTGTCCTGATGACAGTCAGATGTGTGTTTGGTTCGCAAGAATTGGGGCACCAAATTAGAATAGAGCCCATTCGAGAACACAATGCCATGTACAGCATGAATCTGTCATGATTCTTAGGGGAGGACATGACGACGACCGCTAGTCCTTCGGGAGTATTGTAGGGGAGCAATTTTAGGAACAGCGTATAGTACATAAATGTCATCGAACTCCTCTTGTTTTTGTATAATAAAGTGTGGACAGTTTTTAAACTATGTCTACTAGCTTAGACCTCACCTCCACACAATTCAATGTTTAAAGTGTTTTTGTATTGATATAGAAAGTGTATTATATCAAAAACTTTGCAATATGAATTCTCAATTATATATTAATAATTGTAGACCAAAATCAGAGCGTGTGAACAACTAATCATATTACACATTCCGGAAAGAAGGTGAAATTTATAAATGTCCACTATATTAGTGAACATTTTAAAACTGTACACACGATAAAAACATTTCAACATAGGGTAATGAAAACTGGCAGTACCACTTTACGTTATGATCTACTACAAAAGTAGATGAATCAATATCTAAGAAATTTGTAAAATTCACCATTCTGTTGTAAACTAATGTAAAATAAATGAAAAATTAAATTTATAATATATGTATATTTGCACATATATGAATTGTGATATAACTATATGTTACTCTCAAATAAAAATAATTATGTAGTAATATTTGTTTAAATGATCAAGATGTTTGTAACAAGAATCAATTTAACTTTTAAGTTTGAAATAATTTAAATGTATTACATTTGCAAGAAAATATCATAAAATTTTTTTAAATATATCTTTATGTTTTTTTAATTGTTAATCATAAAATTTGTATATTATATCAAACTTGTTGTCAAAAAATAATTTTAAATTTTGAAATAGAAAAAAAATTTGAACAAATCTATTACCAGAAGAAATTTTTTGTCTCTCAAATATTGATTTCAATAATGTTTGCAAAAATTTTGCTTGACTAATATTTATTTTTAAATGGAAAAAAATATTTAATTTATTTTATGTTGCAAAATTTCATCTTTGAGTATATATAACTGAAATATATGTTCAATTTTATTTATTGATAAATTTATATTTTTTTATTGGTGAATTTTTTTCAAAATTCAAACATTAAATGTATTTTTTTTTCAAGTATAAATTTTAAGATGTGAATAAGATGATAAGATATACAAATTTAAGCTACATTTTCATGCTTTTCCATTATTTGTGATTTTCATTTGTTTGTCGCAATGTTAAGATTTGATTATTGAATTTAAACCATGCAATTTTATTCTTTAACCTATTTATATTTAATATGTTCAAGTCATATATATATAATGCAATAAATAATAATAAATACATGTTAAATACAAACAAGTACTTTGACATTGCTTACTACCAGTTATACAAACATTAAGAATGATTGCATGCTTTTTGCTTTTTTTCATGAGCTTCAATCAATGATCTTTTTTAACCTTGTATTGCTTTTTGAAATAAATTTACACTTGCGACAAGTTCTCTGATCATTATGTTCCATATAAATTTCCATCATTGTATTCATATTCTTCATGTTATTTGCAACTCTTTTCATTTTGAGAATTTTTTTGAAGTTTTGAATATGATTTATTATTAAAAAAATATAATTTTCACAAAATGTAATTTATTCTTGATTTATTAAATTGATTGAGAAATTTTTTTGCAAAATTTGAGTATTTAAGTTTTGTGTAATCATGTGAAATTTTGTCATAGTAATTTTATTACATAAAAATTATGAATCTTGTTCAATAATTCATATTCACTTATAATTTGTTGTAAAAAGCACTATTGATGAAAATTTGTCTTTAGATCTTTTTTTAACATGCAATTTGATCTTGATTACATTTATTCAATAATCTTATTGGATGATCATTTAATCATTTCAATTGATTCACAAGTGTTTTTTGAATGTCATGATCCTATCTCCTTTATCTTGCCTCCTATATTGCTCATCATTGAAAACAAATGTCTCATTGGAAAAAAATCATTGCATTATGAAATAATGTTGAAAGTGTTGTATTCATCAAAACCCCTCAAACAGATGACGGCACGTAGCGATTCAAATGCATCACTACGATGATTCCTTTTGTGAGTATGAACTCTTGCAACATCCCAACCGTTTCACACGACATGCATGGCGTTACCGTTACCGTTACAGTCTCTTTCGTCTGAGTGACATGGCGCAGTCAAAGTCCCTTTCTGCATGGGACCTGACGGGCCTGGGCTCGGAAATGAGCGTGCGCATGATCAGAACCTCGTGCTGCACTTGTCGCTATAATATAGCATTCCGCTGACAATCACAACTCCGACTTCACGCTGCGAGCGAAACGTGTCCGCCTTGTGGATGACCCTGACGTGACTGCGATCTGCAAATACAAACATGGCACATGTTTAGAAAAACGTCGGGTAGCATACTAACGTCGAAGCTCATCGACTTGCGAATTCTTCTGTCCTCGCAAGCCCATGCTAGAAAACATATATAATGTTGGACTGCTGGTCTCTCTACATTTTCATTCCCAATCTTCATCTTAGCAACTTTCCAATTCCACACCCACGCGAATCCACATTCCAGCAACTGTCCTAACGATCAATCCATCAACCATGTCTTCCAACCAGATGCAGAGCGCCAAGGACTCAGCTGCCCAAACCACTGAGCACACGAAGCAATTCGGAGCTGAGAAGACTGGTCAGGCACAAGATCACGCCCAAGGAATGGGCCAGGCTGCCAAGGACAAGGCCAACCAGGCGGGACAAGCCACGTCCGATGCTACCCAGGCTGCCAAGGACAAGGCTGTCGAAGCCAAGGACAACACTGGCAACGCTCTGCAGCAGGTACTTTCCCATCCTCCGTTAGGAAAGGTTGTGGCATAGTACACACGTCTTGTGAAAGTCATGAATGTGGTGCTGCGGATGATTGCAACCCTTCTCTGAAAGGTTCAGCTGACACTGCTAATCGTTGTGGATGCAGGCTGGTGACAAGGTGAAGGAAACTTTGACGAACGCCAAGGATGCTGTCACAGGAAACAACCAGTGAGTAGCGATTTTGATGTCTCGTCCTGTCAGCAACGACATGGACCTTATGCCATCTTCGCCCTTTTTAATCAACCATGGCGTTGGCTTTTGTACAGTAGGCCGCCTTTTCCTCACTTGACGAGCTCGAAGTAGAGGAACGAAAAAGGAAAGAAGCTCCTCCTCGAGCATGATTGTTATCCAATAACGTCAGGACAGCTTTGCTATTCGCTTGTCCGTGACCTGTACATGTGAATGTACATATTACAAGTAAATATTTGAGCAAATTTTCATACTTATGTTTTATCTGTCAAGATTGTACCATCCGATAGTTGGCTGCTTGTTGGGGATCTCCCAATGTCAAACTGAACTTGAAACTTTTTGAAGGCTTGGAGTGGTTCAGGGTGGAGAGACGACACTTCCTGGTCGTGTCGTCTCTCCACCACACTCCTTCCTCTTGCGGATCCGCGCATGGCTGAAGACTGCACATTTTCACATGCTCAAATCAAAACTTATGCCTGAACACAAAGCCAAGACACACACCGCTTTCACCACTACTGCTCGTGCTGCCGGAAGCTCTTGTGGATTAAAGATCGGATGAAGGTATTCTGAAGCCGGTAGTTCTGTCCCACCGGGTAGGCCCGGAAGACGAATTGCTTCTGCTACCGTAGTGATCGCATGGAAGGCCTTATATAGGCCGGAAGGAGCTACGACTGACGGAAGATTTGATTTTAAACATCAAATGGTTCAGATCATACTTCAAAGCAGAGTCATATTTATTTATTTCATTTGTTAAGAGAAAAGACATGCAATTAACTGAGCAAGAACATGTAATCTTCTCAGCTTCCACAAGGTTCTTTACTTCACGCGCTCCCTCCTCAATCGACTCTCTGCACAAAGCTTGTTTCTGCTTCAATGCACACTCAAACTCAGCAGAAGTATACTGTGTAGCAGAATCTTTCATAGGAGGTTTCTTATCATGGTTCTGGTCCCTGTATTTTGGAGTGTGCGCTCCACTTACACTACATTGAAACGGAATCTGCACCGAGGGAAAAGTGCTAAATAGTTTATCAGCATGCCTCGTCAAGTAAGAGCGTTGAGAACAAAAGACGGGCGATCTACTGTTCGGAGCAGGAAGTTATGGGCTTCGGCGTGACGCACTAACACTTGGGGGGAGAAACACAAAAAAGAGGAGGGTGGGTCAAGCAGAGTACTAGAAGTATAGAAACTCCCACGTTGAGACCAGGCGTCCGTGCGCCTGGCTCGCTAGCACCCTTCTCGACGGACTGGGTCCTAGACGACCGTGCGTGCGGGCACCCGCTGACTGAGTGCAAACCGTCCCCACGGGCGCCAGGGGATCTCTCGGACGCGTCTAGATTCCTGCCGGACGCGCGTCTCACGGTGTTTCGAACCCGGGCGGGCGTAATGGAGATCTCGCCGACGCGTCTAGATTCCAGTCGGGCGAAAGGGGACGCGCGTCTCACTGTGTCTCAACCCTGACTGACGGCAGACCGTCCCCCGGACTGACGGACTGACGCAGTGCCCGCCTGCTGCCCCCGAGCGAGCGAACCAACTCAAGTAACTAACAACAGCAGCAAAACGTCAAAGCTGCCGCCGGCGACTCAAAGCTGCCGCTAGCAACTTCCGCTTCTACCTTCCTCAAAGAACGGCAACCAAAATCCAAAAACCGACGACTCAAGCCTTCGACTAAATTGAGCGAATTAACGTCGAAACCAAAAGCCGACGACTCAAGCGTTCGAAGCGGAAGTTTGGCGGCGAATTCGCTTCGACCGCTTGAGTCGATTCCTCAAAAGGGTTAGGGTTTTGCACGCATTCCTTCCGCTGCTTGGCTGCAAACGGAACGCGCGTGCTGGCGCCTAATCGGACGGTATGTCACATCCAAAGCTGCGCAGAATGCACGCCCGCCGTGCGATTTTGCTCATCTTGCCTTGGACGATTCGACCAGGAGCCGTTTCCGGACTGCTCAGGTACTCACACGCGCGGGCATTCCGTCGTCAGAACAGAGCACATTCGAGAATACTATGTTATGTAGAGCATGAATTTGTTATAACATTCAGGGAGAACATGAGGACGACCGCTAGCCCTTGCGTAGGATTGTAGGGGAGCAATTTTAGGAACAGCATTTTGTATATAAATGTCACCAAACTTCTCTTGTTTTTGTATAATAAAGTGTGAACATTTTTGAAACTATGTCTACTAGGCTAGACCTCACCTCCACACAACTCGATATTGAAGTGTTTCGGTATCCATATAGAAATTACATTGTAACAAAGACTTTGTTGCAATATATATATATATATATCCACAATTATATTTTGGTAATTTGAGACTCGATTCACAGCGTGTGAACAAGTAATCATTTACACATTTGGGAAAGAAGGTGAACATGTTCATTATTATACTTGACATTTCCAAATTTTACACGCGACAAAAATACATGGAAAAACATCTGAACATTGCGTGATGAAAACTGTCCGTAACACTTTACGTTATGATCTACTACAAAAGTAGATGAGAAAATATCTCAACAGTTTGTACAATTGACTTTTTTGTTTTTAAATATGTAAAATATATGTACATTGTTGAAGCTAAATTACATTCACAATCTCTAATTCTCAACAAAAAAATAATTGTGAAATATCTAATTCACAGTGAAATTTGATACTGCAAGTGCGCAAAGTTTGTCAGCAGTTTAGAAAATGTAGCTAGAAAAGAAAAAGATGAAAACTCTTAAATTATCAAAATTAAAATAATGTCAAATTACATATGATACGTCAAAACTAAACAGTAATAACTAATAATTTATAATCATAAGTTTTGAAGTAGTTTATTAATCTCATAGAATACCAAGAAAATAGTATAAAAGTACTTGAGAGAAATTTCAAAACTATGAAGATGAAAGACATTTATTTAGCAATATATCCTCTATAATAAATTCCAAAAATGACAAAAAATGATATTTCATTCTTAACATTTGTATTATTGATGATATATTACTATGAACATACATTTTTTGATATATATATAAGTTTAACCAACACACATAGCTATATGTACCCTATAAATATTCATAATGTAAATTTGGGATGACTCATATTCATTCTGAAATCATTTGAAGGTTTAGATAATTAACTCAATATGTGTACAAACTACTTTAATTTTTTGGTTGAAGTTTAATTGCTGCAAATATATTCAAATTTTTCAACAATAAAAAGCGCATTGGAAAAATTGTAATATTACTTTCAGGCTAATTGAAAAGATATTTTCATTTGCTATTGAATCAAATATCTCAAATTTGGATATTTGTGACCTTGAACATTTTGTGTTTACTTTTTAAAGTCAAATTTTTTATGTTCACCTAAACAGAGTATAAATTCGTAATAAGTTGAAATATATTGCAAATGTGACTTACGAAATATGATATTTCTATTTCATAAAATTAAATAAAAATTTCAAATACTGAAATTAATGTGTTTTAACTCTACAAAAGTTTCAATTAACAATGATGAAAATTAGATATCTCTAGAGAAAAAATGGAATTCCTAATGCAACAGTATTTGGAATATTGATAGATGAGTATATGGATGTTGCTAAAGAACTTTATGAGTCTACTCCACAGCAGTTTTGAACATTTTACATCTTTTTGAAGAGAAAAAATATTTAATAATTTTTTATTGGAGACAAAAATAAAAATAAAAAATAAAAAATAAAAAATCTACAGGAATGCATTCAAAAACTTATAACAAGAAAATAACCAAAAAATTAAGAAATCCACATCATTTTACTAACATAACGTTTGTTTATGTTTGTTCATAAAGGATTATAGCGTATTTTTTAATTTTTAACTTAATCAGCTTATCTTATCATCAGTTTAAAGAAGATATATAATGAATATGCGAGCAATTTTTGAAATTAATAAAACCTAATATTTCGAAAAATATGGATGAATTTCATTATTCTTTAAATGATTTATCCTATGTTTCAATAACGATTCAATAATAACATGCATAGATGAAAAAAAAAATATTAGATTTGTCGTTTTTTTAAGCGTTGATTTTTTATAATTTTATACAATTTATTCAAATAATTGAAATTCATTTGAAAATAAAAAACCTCATATATTGCAATTATTTTAAAATTTTACACATATTCAAATTTATGTTATGATATATTAATTATTACAGTTTTTTTTGCTACATAAATATCAATATTATTCTTCTATTATCATAAATAAGCGATAAATGCTCTTTAGATACAAATTTGTTTCACTATATTTTTAACAAAAGTAACATAATTTTTAGGAATAATTGTAGAACAAATTTTTTGTTAAATTTATCACTTTAAAATTGAAGTTTAAAATAAAATTTTTTCTCTGATATATGTACATCATATTTTTACTTTTAATCATCAATTTCGTATTATATATCAAAATTTTTGTAAAAATATAATTTCCAATTTTGAATTTGAATAAAAATTTGATTTACTCTTGATTTTCATAGAAAACTTTTTCTCTTACACATTGTTATGAATAATGTTTGCAAAAGGTTTGCTTGGCTAATCTTAACTTTGAAGAGAAGCAAACTCTCATTAAGAAATTTTTTGTCTTATGTTGCAAAATATCATCTTTGATTACATATAACTTACAAGTAGTGAATTTAGTTTATTGATAAAAGTCAAATTATATATAAATAGATTTTTGTTAGTGAATTTTTTTCATGTTTCAAATATTCCCATTTTTATTGCATGTTTTTTTTTTCCAAGTATATATGTCAAGAGTTGAATAAGATGATAAAATATACAAATTTATATCAAAAGTGTTAATTGTGTGCTATAATTTCATGCTATTGCTTTTAATATTTTATCCATTATTTATCAATTTTACTTTCTTATCATGATTTAAAAATTTCATAATTGAATAAAAAACCTAATACTTAAATGACTTATTCTAAGTCATTTTTGTATTGAATGCAATAATTCTCATAAATTTTTAAAAAATACAAACAAGTACTTTGACATTGCTTACTACCAACTATTCATACATGAAAAATGATTGAGCTCTTTTTGCTCTTCTTATGAGTATCAATTTGTGATTTTTTTTGTTCAACTTTGTAAAATTTTGTGATTAAATTTACCCCTAACACAAGTTATTTTTATCACTTTGTTCCATAAAACTCGCCTTGGTTTTTTTTCATATTTTTCACGTTATTTCCAAATTTTCTAATTTTGAGAATATCTTTGTGATTTAAATCGAAAGAGACATATTATTCCAATTCCATGTATTTTAAAAAATATACAATTTTCACAATTGATGAATTTTGATCATCTTAATATTTTTTTTTCATGTTATTTGACTTACTCAAATTTATAGGATAATTTTATTAATTGATCATTTAAACATTTAAAATTATTTCTGATTTTTTTTCTAAATTTAATGAATTTATTCTTGCAGTTTGAAATATTACAAGATGATTTTTCTTTTTAAAAGTTATCTGTTTCAATTTATTCGATGGAAAAAATATTTTGTTCAACATTAGAGGGCAAAAATATCTTCTAAAACTACATTATTCATAAGATACATCTCTTGAACATAAATCCATTGTGTCTTTTATTGAAATCTATCTTATTATTGAAATTTTATTTAAAAATGAAGCCTAGATTTACAAGATGTTTCAAGTCTAAATTACAAGGTGTTTCATTTTTTTATTTGATTTAATTTTTACTTTTATTGTAAAGATTTTATAGCTTATGATTTGTTGCTTTAAATGTTATAACGGGTTTAAAAATTCCTAAATATTATTACTAGCCTAATTATTTTAAAAAATTTATTATTATTAAGCCTCATTTTCATGCTCACGTTTATAAGAAGTAAATTTTTTACATTGTTTCATATAGGAATCAAATTTTTTTTGAGATGATCTTATAACATTTCTGTAATTTTCTTCACTATACTATTATTAAAATATCTTACTACATCCGTTTTAGATAGTTGCGAGAATTATACGTACAATTTTTATTCAAAATATAAATATAAATATAAATTCAATGAAATGATATGATTGATTTTCTATTTGATTCCATCAAATAATAAATATTCAATTATACAATTTTATGTCGTTTCATAAATAACAATTGGAAGTATGAGTTATACTAATGGACAAATTACTTGAGACTCAAAATCTACATGATTTTTTACGACAAGATACATTTGTTGTTCTTCATGAATGAAAAGTGAACTTTGAAAATCCAAATTTATGATCATTCTAGTAGTGGTTTACTTCAGGTTACATTCATACACGGGATTCACAATATATTTTTTTCTACTATGTTATAAATGCATATCACATTTCTCTTTAGTCTTTGTAATCATAACAGGATGAAGTGTAATTCCTTGAAGTTATTCATGACCTATAATTCTTACAGAAGAAAGAAGAAAAATAGCTCTCACATCATTGAAACATTATAAATGAGTAAACAAATCAATCATAATAATACTTTCCTGTAGAAAAGAAACTGTATATTTTCAAGACTTTATAATGATCCTAATTCCTTTATCTTGCCTCCTACATTGCTCATCATTGAAAACAAATCTCTCATTGAAAACAAATCAATGCATTATGAAAAAGTGTCGAAATGTTGTACCCATCGAAACCCCTCAAACAGATGACGATACGTCGCGATTAAAATGCATCACTACGATGATTCCTTTTGTGAGTATGAACTCTTGCAACATCCCGACCATTTCACGACATGCATGGCGTTACCGTTAACACTTCTTTCGTCTGAGTGACATGGCGCAGTCAAAGTCCCTTTCTGCATGGGACCTGACGGGCCTGGGCTCGGAAATGAGCGTGCGCATGATCAGAACCTCGTGCTGCACTTGTCGCAGTGAGATAGCATTCCGCTGACAATCACAACTCCGACTTCACGCTGCGAGCGAAACGTGTCCGCCCTGTGGATGACCCTGACGTGACTATGATCTACAGATACAAACATGACAAATGTTTAGAAAAACGTCGGTAGCACACTAACTTCGAAACTAATCGACTTGCGAATTGTTCTGTCCTAGCAAGCCCATGCTAGAAACTGTATATAATGTAAGGCTGGCCTGCTAGTCTTTCCATATGTTCATCACAAATCTTCACTCATCTTCACATCAGCAAGTTTCCAACTCCCACCAACGCGAATCCACATTCCAGCAACTGTTTAACGACCAATCCATCGACGATGTCTTCCAACCAGATGCAGAGCGCCAAGGACTCAGCTGCCCAAACCACGGAGCACACGAAGCAATCCGGAGCTGAGAAGACCGGTCAAGCACAAGATCACGCCCAAGGAATGGGCCAGGCTGCCAAGGACAAGGCCAACCAGGCTGGACAAGCCACGTCCGATGCGACCCAGGCTGCCAAGGACAAGGCTGTCGAAGCCAAGGACAACACTGGCAATGCTCTGCAGCAGGTACTTTCCCATCCTCCGTTAGGAAATGTTGTGGCATAGTCCTCACGTGTTGTGAAAGTCATGAATGTGGTGGTGCGAGAATCGCACTCTTTATTCTGAAGGGCACAGCTGACACTGGTAATGGTTGTGGATGTAGGCTGGTGACAAGGTGAAGGAAACTTTGACGAACGCCAAGGACGCTGTCACAGGAAACAACCAATAAGTAGACGTCGAGTTGTAGTGCCTCCTGTCCTGATGACAGTCAGATGTTCTCAAGAATGGGGGTATCAGATTAGAATGGAGCATATCCGAGAACACAAGTCCATGTATAGCATGAATCTGTCATCACTCTTAGAGTAGAACATGAGGACGACTGCTAGCCCTTGCGGAGGATTGTAGGGGAGCAATTTTAGGACCAGTATGTATGTAAATGTGACCAAAATCGACTTGTCTTTGTAAAATAAATTCTGAAATTCTCGCAATTCTACTGTCTGCAAACTAACTTCAGCCTCAACTCAATGGATCAAGTTTTTTAACATGTCATGTACCATTCATATCTTTTGAAAAGTTACGTTCGGAAGAAATGTCACAATTCTGTATTCAGTTTTGTAACGCTTGATAAATTAATCATTCACACATATTTGAATATAAAATACATCCCCGTGCAAATTTAATATCTACCATAATATTGTACATTAATATGTCTAATACAAAAATATATGGAAAATTATAAAAACTTATTATATCTATTAGCTGATGAGCAAAATATCTCTCGAGGTAAATCAATTGTTAAAACCAGTTTCACGCAACAATCTGATCATAATTTCAATTTGTACTCTATAAGCGCGGAAATAGATAGTTGAGAGAAAAACTGCTTGTTAAGCGCATATAAATGACATAAGCGCATTTACATGCGCTCATGCCACATGTAAATGTCAAGTTGGGTAAGTTTAATACCTACAAAATTAGGAAAATTGTGTGGAAAAATTCAAAAATGCAAGAAAATCGTCAATTCATGAGAGAAAAAAATGTTCTGAGCTCACTCTCTATCCCAACGTAAAATATGTCACCCTGCCTGAAAAATGATCAAATTTTTGTATGTACAAATGTACATGAAACCTATCATCTAGCTATTAAACTTCTTTGCATTGCACTAACAAGTGAAATAATAAGCTGCAGAATACAGTAAACATTGGTACCCCTTGTACCTAATATGAAATACTTTACTTATTGTGCACAAGTAGAATAAAAAACCCATTGTTACTTACATTTCCTTCTAGAAAAGCAAAGTTATAATTAATAACTTAGTTAAAAAATTAAATATATAATAATTTATAGCAATTTTTCAAAATATAATCTTGGCTTCTAATATCGCTCTTATTGAAAACACTTTTTTGCATTATACTTTTGTCTTGGGTTTGGTCGGATGAGGATATATTATGTTCCCAAATGCATTAGTAAGATTAGGTCTTTAGTGAATAGGAAGTATTTTTACTACCTACCAATGTCAAATGAAATGCATGGCGTTACAGTTTCTTTTGTCTGATTGACAGATCGCTGTCTAAATTCTTTCCTGCATGGGACGGAACAGACTTGGGCTCGGAAATGAGCGTGCGCATGATCAGAACCTCGTGCTGCACTTGTCGCTATGAGATAGCATCCCGCTGACAATCACATCTCCGAAGCCACGCTGCGAGCAATACGTGTCAAGCTTGTGGATGATCCTGACGTGAGTGTGACGGACAAATACAAACATGGCACATGTTCAGAAAAGAGCTCATCTGATCAATCTGTGAATTCATGTGTCCTCGTAAGCCCATGCTAGTAGATGTATATAAGGCTGATCTGCCACACTTACAGTATACAATCAACCACATCTCAGCAATTTCTCACTTTCATACACCTGGGATTTCAGTTGCAGAATTCTCGTAACGACCAATTCATCGACAATGTCTTCCAACCAGATGCAGAGCGCCAAGGACTCAGCTGCCCAGACCACGGAGCACACGAAGCAATTCGGAGCTGAGAAGACCGGTCAGGCACAAGATCACGCCCAAGGAATGGGCCAGGCTGCCAAGGACAAGGCCAACCAGGCGGGACAAGCCACGTCCGACGCGACCCAGACTGCCAAGGACAAGGCCGTCGAGGCCAAGGACAACACTGGCAATGCTCTGCAGCAGGTACTACCCCACCATACGCGAGGAAATGTTGTGGCATAGTTCTCACGTCTTGTGAATGTCATGAATGTGGTGCTGCGAGGATTGCAATCGTCTCTCTGAAGGGCCCAGCTGACACTGCTAATCGTTGTGAATGCAGGCTGGTGACAAGGTGAAGGAAACATTGACGAACGCCAAGGATGCTGTCACAGGAAACAACCAGTGAGTAGCGATTTTGATGTCTCGTCCTGTCAGCAGCGACATGGAACTTATGTCATCTTCGCCCTTTTTAGTCAACCATGGCGTTGGCTTTTGTACAGTAGGCCGCCTTTTTCCCACTTACCGAGCTTGAAGTAGAGGAACGAAAAAGGAAAGAAGTTTTTCCTCGAGCATGAATGTTATCCAATAACGCCAGGACAGCTTTGCTATTCGCTTGTCCGTGACCTGTACATGTCAACGTACATATTTGAAGTAAATATTTGAACAGATTTTCATACTATTTATCTGTCAAGATTGTACCATCCGGTAATTGGCTCCTTGTTCGAATCGAGGTTATTTCTTTCAAGCAGACTCTATTGTTGATGCATCAATGCTAGTGAAATCTTTGAGCGTTTATGCGTAAATAGTAGTTACTCGGGAGCGAAGTAAGTAAGAAAGGGAGGATAGATGAACACTATCAAGCCTAAGCAAAATGTGTAAGAAAGAAAGAGAGAGTTTATTGATGAACGTGTACATAGTTAACACGGTCAAGTGGTTATTTAAATTGTATATATAAAAAATACAGAAACATCGACAATTGGTGAAAAACTGATAAATTTTAAAACATAACTTTCCTAGCAGCAATCTTACTTACATAAAAAGATAGAAATTTGACCAATAAAATTAAAAGCAATGACACATGAAATATATCTACTCCACTTTTCCAAAATTTGAATTTTTATTTATTTATCTACTTTAAAACCCCGGAAAATAGCACGAATTGGTTAACCACAACTAATACTTGATATAATACTTGTGCGTCACAAAATGTCGGTTATGCACATAATTAGAGAACCTTACTCTCGCATTGTAAACTTGCTATCTTTCTCATCCCAATTGAACAATCAATTGCTGAAAACTGTGTTGTCGAAGTATTTCATCCATCCACAATCTCGAAGAGACCTCCGTTCCGACTTAGAGTGTACACTGCCTGATAAGCTTGTGCCACTTGTCACCAAATGATTGGTTTACGCTGCAAACGATACATGTCAATAGAATCAGTAAACGGGCAGACCTGCCCTCACAATTTGTGAGACTGACATGTAGGAGACAGACACGTGGACAGTTTGTCGTCTTCTCACTGAGTTGACAGGATCTCAATTAGATCAGAAATTACTTTGGTTTTGGAAGCGAGACCCCTCCACCACCATCGCATCGAATCTTCTTCACCAAATAAAAAACAAGTTAGTGTAGGTAACTGCTTCAGTACCTAATGAATTTGTAGACCGATGAAAGCAAATATGTGGATGGGACTAGGAATCCGTGGAATCAATGATGTATAAATTCAATTATCTATGACATATGGTTTATTTATTACCAGAGCTTTGAGTCATTTTTGTCAAATGGATTGTATCAACTAATGTTACGTATGGCAAATAGAAACTAAAATATTATATGTGATTTTATAAAAATGGCTTGCGTGTAATCTAATATGCCAAGAATTTTCATTTTATTTTGTAAAGATGTTAGGATTCATAATTTTATTATTACTCAAGAAAAGAGAAATGAGAAGATCTCTTCTGAAAATCCAGTTTTTATTTATACAAGAATATGTGTAATCCCTCCATCCAAAATCTTCTTATTTATGACATATAATGAATTTGTATGTAACAATTTTCTAATCTTATGATATGAACTGCAAACATGGGATTGCCAACCTTATGTTAGAACGAAATGAAAGCCTATGCAATGATTCAAATGGATCTTTATGACATTAAAAATTGTAACATAATAACATATGATTAATCGAATTTGAGTTGGATGAATCATGCAAAAGCCAAATTTATCGATGCAAGAAATTTATTCGATATGAATGAAAAGCTTTGATGCATGTTCATATCACGACTTGTGAACTTTCATCCTTCTAGAGAAAAAGTATATACATGGACTTTTATTGAAAGATCAACTCTCTTGAATGGATGTACCTGTAAGGATGATCCTTGTAGCATGTAAAACTAGCTATGAGGATTGATCCAGCAAAAAGAATCAACTATTCTCGTTTAAATTTGTGATCAAGAAGGAAAAACTTGAAAGCGTGTGTATTTTTTGAAACAATAAGATTTCCATCTATGTTCTTTGTATACATCTACATCTTTGTTTATATCATATTTCGGCAAAATGTCATGCATTACAATCAAATATTTTTTTTTATTGATGCCAAGGATAAAAAAAGAAAAAAATACTGGATGACGAATTATGTGTTCATTGAATGAATTGCAAATTGAATTGATGCAAAAGAAAGCAGATTTCCGTTGCCGGGACTTGAACCCGGGTCGCTCGGGTGAGAGCCGAGTATCCTAACCAACTAGACTACAACGGATATGCAACTGATTAAGTCTACAAGCAATATATTCCAGACCATTATCATTCCTCCTAAAAAGTGATCTTATATTAGTTACAATAGCTCACTTCATGAAGATGTATTCAAGTGAGAAGCTAATGAAAACTTTCTCAACATCCATTTACGATACAAGAACAACATCTCATGCACAAGAATCCCGTCAACAACGTCAATTATGGGATTATTCTGCAAAAGACTATAGGCAATATATAAATATTTTGCTACTTATAAGTCTAACTTTTCTACAAAACTTATCAAACATTCTTGCATCTTATCAAACATTTTGCAATCTAACATCCATGGTCTTCTGTGTCTCCATACCGAAGTGGAGGTACATTCCTTGTATGAGCTATTTGTTGTACCTCGCGGGTTAACTATGGTACGTAGGTGTACTGTATGTTGCTACAGAGACAAATTCCACATAAATTAACTTGACAGAAATGTCTTGGGAGGAAACAGTAACAATGTGGGCACACGTGTAATATTAAATCAGAGACACAAGGTAAAGAGAAAGTCTCTTTCGAAGTTGACAGAACGCTACGATATATTGATGTTACAGATCTCGAACTGTCAGCTCGAAAGAGATTAGACAATTCCGTTCTACCTGACAACAAGACGCAGGAAACGAGTCAATAAATGTTTGCTTCACCATGCTCTATGTGGACCAGGCATCCTTCAATTTTACAGAAGATGTGAATCTAAGATGATACACGGGTGGATGATCTGCTAAGTTCCGTCGCTGTGAAATATTTTTTTCTCAATTGTACCTCTGAAATAGAGTCGGTTCAGGGGATGATTGCACATTTGCTAGTTCCTGCTCGTGACCTGTAATATTTTGGCCTGCGTACAAGTTTCCATAGCCTTCTGACCAGCCTGCACCAACAATTCACCGTGTTACGAAGTTGTGGGCCGTTACACGCAGCCGTAACAAGAACCAAATGCCAAGAATCGATTCTTAGCATTCGGGAGATAAGCTGCTCGTAGGCTCGTCACGTCAGCTAGTGATTGCTGGCATGAATGCATGTGCTGATCAAGTGGGTAAGAGGAATTTTGGCTAGAACATGCAGAAAGTGACTTCTCGAAGAGCATGAATCGAAGTGAAAACAAACTCAGAGTTTGTCTTCATACGGTGATTCGATCATTTGGAGATGTCATCGATGCCAGCGACACCCAGAAGCTATCGACACGTCCCGAAATCAATTCAGTAGGTGCGACCTTGACTAGCCAGTGTGTCAACAAGTAGAGAAAAGAGATTTTGGCAAGTGGATTTACATCTACTCTCTTTGACTGCGACCGGATAACTTCAGTATGATCTGAGCCAATTCTTGTTCCCAATGTCAGTGTAAAACCCTCCTATATTATGATACAGATCAGGTTAATCTTCAAGCATGCACCTACAAATGAAGTTCCATTATCTACTTCCTACAGTCCACAGAAGGCGTGTCCAGCCAGCTGTGAAGTTATTTATCACGCTTGAGACAACTCAGGCCCTTTAGAGACCTGGCATTGTGTAAAATGGTTGACCAGGGAGCAAGTATGTTACCGCAATAGAGGGACCTTATGGTTAGCTCCTACCTCAACCACTTTCTTTCAAGGCGACAGTTTAACTCTGCTGGAGTATGGTTGGCATCATACGAGCTGGCTTTACAGCAAGAGCTTTTAGTGGACACTATAAATGAACTGTCTACATGACACATCATTTACAAGAGTGGTCATGCCCAAAATAATTAAGTACCGTAGCAAAAAACGAACGAATATACGAAGGTTCAACTTAACGTACAAATATATCAAATGCCAATATAGCAGAAAATTTGTGCAACCGAACATTCAGCTCAAAAGGAAAAATAGGTACTATACACGATCGCGTCGATCAGCCTCGATTAATGAATGGATCGGAGGGGGATTGAGGAACCGGAAGCAAGTGGAGCCTGTGGAGGTAAGAGCCTTCGACGAGGTAACTAGCCACTGCGGTAGGATAAAAAGCTGCAGCTTTTCGTGAATGCTAATACTCTTATGCACCACGCACTGGCCTCTTGCACTAGATCATCACCTGCTACCGGATGAAATTTTCCATTTGCATGCCCTGGGTTAGGACGAAGTAAAACGAGTTCGTGAGGGCTATGGGAAACACTCTTCTCTGTTGTTTTCGGGTATCAACCTTGGATGTCATTCCTAAATCAGATCATCACGTGATGCCGAGGAGATAATGGACCCACCTGCGCACGAGCACATTCGGTGTACGATCCACTAATAGTTTACAAGGTTTCCCCCATTACGGACAGAACCTGGAACGTGTCAAATTTCGTCGAAATGCCGTGAATGCTAGCAACCTGGACGAAATGAAATTTGGCACGTGGTGCCGTCTTTCTCTATTCTTGGTCCTCACTCCAATTCCATTTTGGGTTGTCGTGATCTGCTCATCCCTTGAGAAAATTTAGGAACAAAATTAATAGTTTAATAATTAATATATTATTTATGCTCATCCCTTTGCAATTGCCTTCAGATCGACACTTTCTTATATATACGTCTCTTCTTCCCAGCTTCATCACCTCCACTCACTCCAATCTACTCAGCTGTCTTCGTATACTTATTATCATTCGCAATCTTTCTGCATTTAGATCGTCTGATTGTTAGGAATCGATCGGAAGATTCATCGATAATCATGTCGTCAGACCAGTTGCAGAGCGCCAAGGACTCTACTGCTCAGAGCACGGAGCAGACCAAGAATTTCGGTGTCGAGAAAACCAGCCAAGCTCAGGACAGCGCTCACGAGATGGGACAAGCTGTCCAGGACAGCAGTCAGCAGGCTGGACAGGCCACTTCTGATGCTGCTCAGACTTCCAAGGACAAGACCGTCGAGGACAAGGACCACGCCGTCAACGCCCTGGAGCAGGTAAAGCACAATCCGTTTCTAAATTAGCATGCTGATGATGAGTTTTCCCTTCTGGGTTCCCATATTACAGCTCAATGATCAAGAACGAAGGCTCAACGAGAGGTTCACTTGTGCAGGCTGGTCAGAAGGCAATGGAAACTTTGACCCAGGCCAAGGAGAAAGTCACGGGGAATGAGGAGTAGAGATCGAATATGAATCGATACTTGGGCACCCGTAGTCTCATGGATCCGCGGATTTGAGGGTTCCTACCCATGCATGGGTTTGAAAGAGAGAACGAGGCGTGGTCTTTGGACATGATGGAGTCAGAGGAAGAGACGAGATACATGCAGATCATGTACAGTTCCGATTATGGAGAAATGAAAGTGTATGGATAGTTTCAATTCCCGTGGCAATCCTTTTGTGTATATTTCATGGTTATGATAATTATGCTTGCATGCAGTCTCCGCCTCCACGATGACAATATGATCTTAATTATTAATAAGCAGAACGCCCTTTCCTCTTTGTATTACCAGTCCTGTGAAATATGGTGAGGGTGATGAGGTGGCAGCGAGGTTTGGGACCTTCAATCTAATCATAAGCTGCTGCATTCCATACGTCCGACAATTTTTATTTCTTATCATTTTTTCTCTCCTGAGCGACTGTGAATCACTGAGGCAGTTACAAGATTGAGGAGCATGCAACATGTACCTGTCATGGGATGTTCATCATATTGGCAATGGAGGTTGAGGGTCTACTCGAAGCTATTTTCCAACATAGATTAATTTTTGGGGACAGGCCGTGGCATAAAGTAGAATCTGATCCCATCTCATCCCTCGACCATTCTTCTTTTTATTCGGCGACCATGACCACAAACTCATACGAATTGTCCACCATATATTCTGTATGAACGTAGTCCTCCTTACTCAAGGCACCATTGCGGTTTTGAATGCTACAGAACTTAAACACTTAATCAAAGCTCAACCGAAGTCTACTGTCTTGAACTTTTGTGAAGAAGTCAACTTCATTCTCTTCAGTAAGCCTGGTGAAGGTTTGAAGACAAGAATTAATCCAATTCTCCTTACCACCAAATCAACACTGAAGAATCTCGTTTCGAATATGAGTGAGAACGGGGATTGAAACTAGCTATGGTTGAGACTGAGGCTTTTCCTTACATCTTATTTGAGTTTGTCTGATCAATATTATGTGCGTTTCTTGCCGATGACATGCTCATTTCAAGTCATCAACTCACTCTCATTTTCAGTCTGCCGTACCGTAGTCTTCCATGGTTATTCACAAAACCTATGAATAAGGTAGTAAATTGCACGTCATCCCTCTTTAGTTCGTTGGAAAAGTGATTTTAACGTAGTAAACCCGAGTGACTAGCTAACCAGATCTTGCGCTAATAAATTAAGCGTCTACGAGCGTAAAGGTGAGGCTTAGAAGTATTCAGCGGCTGATGAGAAAGCTCCCTGAACTCGAACAAGCGAAACAGTTTTTCCTTCAACATTCAACTGGGCAAAATCCAACCAAAAAACAACTCCAAAATGAAATCTTTATTGTGCTAGTAAAGATATACTTTTTCGATAACGGCGTTCCCTCCAAGTTGTTGTTCATATTTCAATGTCTTGTATTAAGTACTATATTATTTGTCCTAATTTTCCGTTTCCGCAAACTACTTTCATTTTCTCAAATCCTGGTTATCTACTAGCTTAGAGTACCTGCTAATAGCTGACATTTACATAAGAATTAGAGGTAAAATTCGGAGACACTCTGCCAACTGGTATCCGTAGCTTTTGAATCTAGATCAAAACTAAGGGGTCCAAAAAACTCGTCAAATTGTTGTGCGGTCATCCTCTAAAAAGATTTTCATGTATCAAAAAATGACACGCAGAGAAAGTTGAACGCAAATGAATGATTTGAGAATCTAGAGTATAGAGTAATACATTCAACCCCCGGGTAGCAAATGAATCATTCAATCTTTGAAGTCTTGTAGCGATGTGTGTGCTCGCTCCAGCGAGTATTCGATTGCAAGCTGATGAAAGCATCCTGCGTTTAGACGAAAAGAGCCGCAGAATCAGCCATGAAAGCTCCGATGGCAATCGCGAATGGGTATCGAAGTATTGAACTTTCCGAAGGAGTGGGCACTGGAGAAGATACTAGAGGCGGAGATGGGAAAGGAGAATCAGAACTATTTTCTGCGGGAGCAAGAAGGTGGAGGAGAAGAAGATGGGGAGTGACCGGACAGGAAGTGGCGACGGAGTGAGAGTGGTTAGAAAGTTGGATCTTGGAGGAGAAGCAATAGAAAGAGATACAGGAGTTGATTGAGTAGGAGGAAGAGTTAATGTGAAGTCTAAATAGCCCGCAAAATAGCACAATGCAATACCAAGATGAGCAAGAGAGAGAATAGAACATCAATATTGTTAAAAAAAGCAGACGGGTGCTGAAAAAACCACCCTTCTTCTATAAAACCACAAACCCCTCTTGCTTTAAAAAACTAATCTGTAAGTGATAATTACAAGAAGTAATCTAGACTCTTTTATATAATCTAGAACAACTTGGGGGCAGAAAAACCTAATTCACTAAACCAAAGAAAAGTGGCAACGAAGTAGCATCTAATCTTGGTTTGTCATCAAGTAAACTATCAAATTACTTGGTGAACAATTTTTCTTCACGTCAAAAAATGTCTCACTTGAAGACAAATCAGTAACACTTGCATCTTAATGTCTCAAATTTTTTTTCATCTACTCTACGTCAATCAATCTTCCATATACGAACAGCAGCTCCCACTTGACTCCAATTTAGTTAGTGCATAGTCTCAAATATCCATGATGACAACCTTCGTGAACATGTACGCAGGATTTATCTCACCTCCGATCTTTCTTAAAGACAAAGTCATGTAATCTAGCAATTCACGTATATAGTGTTACTTCAACTTGATGTGCTTTGTTATTGAATGAAACACCATGTTCTTTGCTCAACACAAAGCACTTTGACTGTCGGTGTAGAGTGCTAAGCAATCTTGATTGTTTTTAACATCCTTCAAAAAACTGAAAAACCACACCATTTCTTTCTCAGCTTCCAAAGGAGAAAGTAGAAGTGGTAGAAATATGTAGAAAGTGCTACACAATTTTGCAATCTTCACATTTAATTCACAGTTGTACCTCCCCAAGTACTAATATAAGCAAAAGTGTTCTTTCAACTATCCAAATCACGATCAAGTTTTGCATCAATGAAAGCTATTAGACTCACACTGCTTTTCAAGTATCTTAGCAGCCATTTCACCATCTTCCAATGTGCAGTACTGGGATTCTTCATGTAACGACTCATTACTCTCACTACGTTGTTGGGTTTCCTATGTTGATATGGTGCATAATGTTGCATACATGATACTCTCAACTGCCAAGGAATAGAACACAGTTGCCATATAGTCTTGCTGCTCTTTCGTTTTTGCTACTTGAGTCTTTGACAGCTTGAGTTGTACTCAAAGAGGTGTGAATCTTGGTTTAGCATCTTGCATGTAAAATTGATCCAACACCTTGTTGATGTTTTTGTTGTGTGACAAAATAAGAGATAACCAACCATACACTTTTAGATACCAATTGGTGTCTTTACTCATACTCACTTGCTTTAGACACCACACCAGTTGGTGTCTAAAAGAAAGAAGTACAAGCTAGTAGCAAACTGAAGTAAATAGGTATGTACAGAAAAAGAAAATTAAAGCATTGTATATATGAACAAGATTGAATGTACAAGCACAAAGACCGCTGGTTTGCACTCGTCAAGCGGGAGCCTCTATGAATCATGTTGACAAACCTTGAGGCGGAACGGCTATGGAGTATATCATCTCCACTTCACACATGATTCTAGAAAAAGTTAAAACTACAAGGCCAAGAAGCTGTGCTAAGTATGTCATAGGCTATGACATACTTAGAATGAAAGAGCTATGACTCATAGCTCTTTCATTATCAAATGCAGATGATACAAGGCTCAAAATATAGCCTACAAGAACAATACAAGAGCGTCACACTAATTGTTATCTAACTTGTGTTACCAGCGTCAGTTGTGCAAAATGAAATTTGTCCCTATAATCATCAAAACCTGTCAAACATCACTAGGACATGCAGACATGCTCTAGGATCAGGGCATTAGTGCATGACAGTTGTCGTGACATATAGTGTCGTAACGTATTAGTGTTGTATCGTCTGAAGACATGATATATAGCAAAGAGACACTTGGATAGCCATGTTGACTACAGGTCAATCCAAGATAAACACTAAACTCAACAACGAGACTAGAGCAAAAATTTGAACTCTTTCTTGCAAGTTTGCACCAACGTCTTGGCAAGTCTATCAACTTGTGGGTGATTGCTTAAAATGGAGGTATGATCAATCAAGGCATAGTCAAGCAAAATTTAGAATTTATCTTTAAATTTTCATCCTTGATCAGTGAGGCAATCTGCACATGCTACAAACCTGGTAAAAACTTGTTGGAGGAAGATCTGGCTGGTAGTTCCTGGTAAATACTTGTTGGGGGAAGATCTGGCTGGTACTTCTCGAGATCTTATCTTGTAGGGCAACTAACTCAATCCACTTATAAGAGTTCTTTATCATAATCAAGATGTGGATACTACCTCTACTAGTCATAGGCAGCTCATCAGCCAAATCACAAGACAAGCAATAAAACAAGATCATGATATATAGTGGGATAAATGTAATCTACCGGAAGAGAAAATGAGTTTGTAAACTGTCGCATTTCTTGCTTCTGGTCAGCACCTCACGAACTTGATTGTACATACCATTGCAATGATTTTGAGGAGATCAAGCTATAGTTATATGCTTCACATCAAAGTGCCCAAACTCTTAGTGTATTTATCCTCATGCGGTGAAGGAGCCAATCTATCACCTTGATAAAGTGCCAAACTAGATGATTATCCTTCCATGCATAGCGCTTGGATTGCTGTTGTATGCAATCACTCTGATCTGAAGTGACTCCACGCTGCAAAAATCAGAAAATGTTCAAGTTCTCTCATATATTGCGCACAAGTTGATGAGCTGCATATCATTGTAGCAAGTCTAAGTAGCTAGAAGTATGTGGCTTGGCTGCCAAAGCGACCTAGTCAAAAATTCTGTCTTGCATCTAAGATATCTTCTAAAGTTGTCAAGGTGAATCTAGAGATAATGTCCGTGTTTTGATTAGTTACATCAGGTCTGTGAATCACCTTGAATTCATAATCTTCCCAAATTAATACCCAACGAGCTAGCTTGCGGATAAGCTTGTCATTGGTTATCAAACACTTGAGTGGTCGATGGTTGGTGTATATAATGAATCTGATATCATAGAGATAGGGCCTAAAATATATAACAATTCACACCACAAAAAGTATCCTCACCTTCGTAGTAGGACTTTTTGCT